TAAGAAACTCTTGCTTAAGTAACTTTTGCATCAACTCCTTTCGGTCTACATCAGTTAGACCTGTCAATTTTTTCATCATGGCAAGCAGGAATTCTGGAGGTGGATCAGAGTCCAAAAAATCTTGACTATTAAAGGGACTGTCATCAACATCCTCCACAGATTCCTCAATATCGGCCATGATGACACAGAGATCAACTACTGCAGTAAACCACCCATTATGAGAAACTGTATCAATAAATTATATTCAATAAACACCTCGAACCAATTTAATATTCATGCATTACAAAATACTTAATATTTTTACCACAAGATTGGAAACTATTTTAATTTTAGATGTGCACAAGTGGATGAGTGTGTAGGTAAAGGTGAATACAAAAAAATGACAAGAGATAGGTACAGCATTGCCAATGGATCTAAACCCCCCAAAATACATGACCTATACTGCTACTGGGAAAAACCCATCTTCCCTTCTAAAAACAATGAACATTTTTTGCACTTGTAAAAAATACATTCTTGAATTTTGACTGTCAAAAGATAAGTGAGCAGGTTACAACATGATGTGACCTGTGTGGGTTCTTGTAGTCACAGCAATATTATGTGATTATAAATCCAATAAAACTGTACTGAACTGTGACCATCAATAAATAATTTAATATGGGTTGTGTGACTTTTCAATCACTCTTGTTACTTCCAGCTAAAGTTTTGTCTTTCTACATTTATAAATTTTAAATTCCACTTGAAATTAAACATAAGTGTTTATTATTTCCTGAATAAATAAAATAAATTTCTTCATAATGCCAAGGAAAGAAAATGCCACAGTATTTCCCATACACAGGTGGTTTACATCACATCAAATGTCAGATAACAAAGGGATTCAAATCATGCATGAAGTGTTATCAATAAAACAGAAACAACCTATTGAGTACTGACTAATCAACTCTTATTATATAATGATTTAAGTCACTTTACCTAGGAAAGAAAATGTTTTGTTTACAGTTAATAGTTGAACAAATTTAACTACAATAGAAATATTTTATTTCTATTCAGGAACAATTTTTTCAACACCAAGGAAGTTCATTTTATTTCTTTTGATGTTTGACAACTCATGCTACACTGTCAGTTTAAGTTCCTGAACATACAGGTTATTTATAAACAATATTTGTGAAAGTTTTTATGCATATTCAGATGTGTCAATGTGTATTACATCATGTAAATGGATAATGAAATTTGTGAATTCTTGACACAATTTCAACCACTTTCATCACAAATGATTACTGAACATTGTGGAATAAACAGAACTGTAATATTGGTGATTTTACAATTCTGAGTCTTCTGAAGCAGTACCCTGTCTACAGCAGCACAAGCCAGTTCATTCATTACAGAATGCTGAGAATACAAAAAGTGCCAATTCTGCATTATATAAGTGTAAAATACATACAAACAAAAATAATTGCATTAAAATGGTAACTACTATAATTTTTTTTACAAGTTATGAATTCACTTATATAACAATAATAAGGTAAATATAAAGCAGTTAAAAAAATAGTACATCAAATATGTTTCAGTTCATGGGAAAAACCTGACTGGCGGATAAAAAATTGTGCAAAGAACAATGCTACAGTAATTTTTCACATTGAAACTCATACTCCAAAACATTAATATTACCACAGTATCACAAATATAGTGTACTGCTTTTTTCAAAGTAAATGGGGGGTTGATGGGGAGTTGTAGCACTGTTCACTGAACTCAGCTACAGCAGAAAGCACTTAGTTACTTCCATATTTGTACCACCCATTTATGAACTTATAATTATTCTATGTACTGCACAATTCAGTCTAAACATTTACAGAAAATTACTAATACACGTATATGATTCTCAATCCTCAATACTAAAGGTTTCTTATATAACAAACTTCATTACATAAATCACTTTGTTATCTGAACAATGCTAACACACATCTACACTACCTGCTTGAGTATAATACACTGACTCCCAGCACTCAAACAAGCAGAGAACCAGCCTGTTAAGACTCAACTACAGATGTCTAACCAGCAATCTGTTGATGAAGAGAGGAGAACATATTTCTACTGGGTTGACATGATGCTCACATATTTCATCTCATGGTTAAAGGATTTATCTGATCTACTAAATCTTGGATGTGCCCATGAAGATGACAGGCAATGGGGATGGCAGTGCGAAGAGGGTACAGAAAACAAATACTGATATGTGTTAGTTCACCTGTTCCCAGTGGCTAAATGTAGTCCTTTCCAATTCATGAGAAACAGCTGACAGACTTTTATTACTTGCATTATTAATTTAATACTCTCTGACAATAACTCAAACAAATCAGCAGCTCCTAACTTTTATTTTATTTTTCATGTTATAAGCAAAATTTTATATAATTTGATCATGTCTGATACTGTAGTCTAGAAATACATACATGCAAAATGAAAGGGAGATAGAAACATTAAATAAATGAAGTATAGATATTGAAATGGCAGACAAATATGAATAATAACTAATGAAGTTCTCTTACAATCAGACTTCACAGTTTCTATATGTTTACACATTTAATTTGACATAAAAAATGTTGAATAACCCATATTAAAGTGTCAACCAAAATTGAGTTTGGTTCAACAATTTTATAAAATATTTCAGGATTCCTCTTTTCGAATCTAAGGGTTACATGTACTTGATCCATAACATTCATAGAAAATAATGATGTATAACAAATATTTAGATGCAGGCCTGTATGTGCAAACTGCATTTACTTATATAATTTCTTTCTGAACATATTTTACTTCTCACCATTTTAAGGAGGAAATAATTGTAATCTATATAACATACTTAATACATTGTTAAGATATGCAGAAACTGCCTGCCATTATGTTCACTCCACCAATGTTTAAACATGTCTTGCTTTCTAGTCTCATATTTTTTAAAAAAAGTTTCCCAAAACAAACAATAAAGAAATGACAAAAGCCAACTATAATACAAATGATGCTTTGGCAAAGGTCCTCCATTCTGCACTGAAGAATATGTAAATGACATTTCCATAAAATATTCAATATAACAGAGTGCTATAAGAAATTCTGCAAACCTATTTTCCACAAACGTATTAGACAACAGACCATTCAAATAGATTTCTTCAACCAAGTACAAAAACAGCCAAATAAAACACTGCACCAGTTGCAAATGTACATGTATAGAGCGATAAAAGAACTGGCAGTTTAGATAAAAATTAAATAGAGTTAGTTTTCTGACATTCATCTGAATGCCCTATTTAATTAATGAACAGGATAATCTCCAAAGCACAAGTGCTACAAAATAAAATTCATACAGTTGTGTGCATAACACACAACCATTCAATCACAAGCTGTATATCAGGAACTGGCATGTTGGTAAATAAGAACAGTGTGATGTGTGGAGTTATACCTCAACTTACTCACACATACACATACACACACACACACACACACACACATGGTATAATGCTTAGTTAACCACCACGGAAAATTCTATCTAAACCTCTAGCATTTAAAATGTTTCCAAATTTAGAACATGAACAGGATTGTCAGTTGTAGTCACAAACAAGGACAGCACACTACACAATTTTTAAGTTCAAAACTCACTTTCCACTGTAACGTTCAATTGTGTGACAAACATACAACTCATTTCATCGCTCATTTTTAAAATTACAAGTATTGGGATGAAGGAACAAATGCCAAATTCATAATTATTATACATAACTCATGGAACAAAGACAAGAAAAGCATATTTCTCTGGTGCTGTCACAGCAGCTGGGCAAACCATACTCAAAATCACTGAAAATATTATAACATATGGGTTGAAGAGCCAAAGTCTATAGCAGAATAATTTGTGCTCATGTCATACTAATTGTAAAAATGAATTATTGTAGTTTCATCATATACTTACATTTGTACAAGTGTTGTTATGAAGAGTGGAAAATATCTGGTGTTTTTTCTAGTAAATTACAACAGCAATATTATGTATCAAGTTTACACAAGTGTTGAATGCAGAGACAAAAATATCAGGTGTTTTCTTTATGTGACATCAGTAGAGACTGTATCTCATTAACTGTGATAATATCAACATAATCAAGACTCTATGTGATGTGACAAGGATGTGTGATGGTCAGCAGAAGGGAGACTGCACCCCATTTTATATCTTAAACCACAGTAACATTAAGAAATTTATGTACAAATGCAGCATACTTTAAAACACCGCTTTCCATCTTGGCTACACATATTTAAATAATTACTCATGAGGCGTTTTACCCCATCAAACCAAATATTTAGCTGTAAATCAAGATTCAGTTAATTTGGCATATGGTAGTAACGAAATAATTACACGTGTTTAAAGATTTATTCACATTACCTGATAGACCAAGTATAATTATACCAGGAATTACAAACACAGAATTGCTAAACCCATGCTCAATTGGTCCATCGGGTCCACCAGATAAATCAACCATCGTCCCCTTTCAAAAGTCAACACTGCACCAGCAAACATCAAAATAACACAACTGCCATTCCATTGGAAAAAAGTCATGTACGAACATTCACGATGCAATTGCACGATACCGACTTTGAAATAATTCCAGTTTCAGTTTAAGACATTAAAAGGATTGCGTCCAGTCCACCAGTTTAAAAACATGTATATGACATTACGAATATTTTAACTAGTTTCGAGGGGTTGGTGAACACTGGCAACCGGTGGTGTATTATGTACTATACATGCGTGTACGCCACGGATTAACTGTGTGTTCTTTGAAAGCATGGTTCACCTACATATTGCAAATTACCACAGAACGCGGAACGTGTGTTCATAACTGATTCAAAATAAACGTGACTGGCTTGAAAAGAGAAAAATTCTGTCTAAGATTTTTTAAGACTTACGGGAAAAGCTTGTTGCACATGAAATGTATGCTTCATTCTTCTCTATAACGTTTGCTCTAAACAATTTTCGTCTCGATAAATATTTAGGGAATTACACTCGAAATGCTTCAGAAGCTCACGTACGTTTTCATGCAACGTTCCGTTGTTTTTGACAGATTATAACCAAAATTAGAATACGTCATCATTTACTCGCCAGGAAAGTTTTACTCTACTCATCTCTGTTCAGTGCTTCTCAAGTTGGTACATGCGAATTGACGGACGAAGAAAACAAACATGCTCACATTGGTCATGGTACCATGCGGACACATCCGTGGGTGCCAACGTGTCAGAGAAACACAATCAGCCTTACCACCACAAAAACTACAACTTCTCACAGATTTCAATGATAGCATAATCAAAACAAAGAACTGTATTTTGTACCTGAAACACCAGCATCTGCATTGCCGTTTCATTCTCAGCTAGAAATGGAGGAATCACTATCATTTCAATATCTAACTCTAAAAATACCATTAAAATTATAAAAAGGATAAACAAAAGATGAACTTCACTCACACAATGAAAGGATGATAGTATTTGTTTTGGAAAACATTTTTATTTGACCTCTTTACCCAATCTAACAGTAAAATTAATAATTCCAAGTTCGCTCTTAACAGCAGAATGCAGAAGCATTGGAATTTAAAATTTAAGTACCAGTTAAGATCTGATCTGCTAGCACCTGTAATTATAAACAGAAAAGGCAAAAGATTAACAAGACTGGAAAAATATATTCTTTGGGATACTGAAATTGCAAAGGTGTTCTTCATGCCACATCACACAGGTTATTGCTCTAATGTGGCCCAAGATCACTGTTACCCTTCAGATCATTCTTGTACTATTTAAACCCTGGGCATTCTTACACCTCAGGCCATTTTTGTGCTAATGTCATTCAACAGTAACTGACATGGATGGGCTCATAACGTGATAAGTTTACAAAAAATTAGGGACAGAAAATAAATTTGTGCAAATTTACAGACTTCAGCATGGCACTAAGGTCAAAACTGCTTCAAAAGATCTTACCCATACTATTTAAACAAGACCTCTATTTATGAAAGACTAAATAAAGTTTCAGACAATGCTTATTAGACACCCATTGGATGAGAGCTGTTTTAAACAAAAGCTGTATACCTTTGTGATAACTCCACGAATGTTGGCATGAGATTCTACAGGCCAATAGGCTTGTGGCATGGATAGCTGATTTTGATGATGAACAAAAAATTGTTAATAAAGTAGCTAGTGGCTATCAGACTGATTGATCATGTTAGGTTAGGTCAGTTTATAGGAACACAGGAACAACAAATACATCCTTTTTGTTTGTATAGGCATTATACAAATTTAATTACAGAAAAGTTAAAATCCAATGGTTTATTTCCATCATTTCACATCAAATGGCACAGTGCTGTTTCAGTCAAAGTAATCTCATCCTCTTACCACATATATTAAATATAACCATCTGTTTTCTAAAAAGTTATCACAATTTTGAAGCCTGGGGGAATAAGGTATGGTATACTTTTCATGCACACAGTAAGTGAAATTCCTCATTTAAACTTCTCTGATAGGTGGCTAAAGTCATAAACTGTGGGAACTGGGCATTGCAGAAATTGATAAATGAACATGTATTGTACTTCACATACTATAAGAGGTTATGTAGATGTAACATGACATTTATGTTTAAAAAAGAGATGGAAGACCACCTTCATATTCTTACAGACCACAGAAAATAACATTTGGGAATACAAACCCTGTATTTCCTTGAACCTGTCTAACAATCAGATCCACTGAAACAGGTAACCTTGCAGCTACATAAAATTCCCAAAATTAAATAGATATCAATAGGCTACATTTCTGTAGTAGCTTCTAAGACCAAATTTAGCCAAATTCCCTTAGCCAGAATGGCTGTATAATATTACTGCCTTCAGATGTTTTCTGAATGTTTGTGTAGTTTAATTTTTGTAAATATGAGCAAACTTGAAACTCTGTCTCAAGTAGAATTAACAAAACTCTGAGGCTCCAATTACACTTAAAAATGCACAAATTTATTGATTACTTACAAATGGAAAGAAATACTTACAGGTAGACAGGAATTATCTGCTCAATTTAGTCTGATTGCAATGTATAATAAGCAACTATCTGCAATAATATCAGAACACTGTAAATTCTGCCATGATTTGCACAGCTAAATGTAGTTTGTAGCAAAGATAATATTGTGAAACCTGTATTTTGATAATGAAAATATACATTATATCCTGGACTTACAAAGTTCTTTTTGCCCTTTGTATAATGCATAAAAAGAGGTACAATGAAAATGGCACATGTTATTACATTCTACGACACAACATGGTTTAGGAATTTCTACTGTTTTTACAGCATGCATTTTGTGGAAGTTGTTAAATGTTTGGAACTGAACGCAGAAAGGCTATAAACTTTATTTTGTTAACTTCAAAAACTACACTTAAATTACATAGAATCTAGTTCTGTAATGACAAAAAAGTTTCCTCAGTTTTAAGACACTTTTTCACATTTTAAAATTTCTGAAATTGGGGTTCATCTTACATTTGATAGCATTTAAGAATCAATGTTGAAACATGATACTGCATGACTGAAACACAAGGAAAAATCTCCATGCCTATAACACTAGTCATGGGGCAGTAAACACAAAGATAGCAACACAGAAGATTCCAAAAGTATTATTACAAATGAGTTTTATGTTTGAACACTGACAATTGCTATTGTAATATACATTCCCCCCGCCCTAAAAACCTATTAATAAATCAAGGTGCATCATAAAATCAATAGCAACTTTCTTTTCTGCAAACCTATTATTGTCTTAAAATCCATTGCATCTTAAAATCAAGGAAATACAGTATTTGTACGTCTTCAAAATTGCCAATAGAAAGAATGCAATTATGAGTATGTTCTGGTGAATTCCAGATTTCATGAGCTTTCCCAGGTATTAAAAAAATATATGAAAAGCAAATGCCCAAATGAAAATTCATTAAACTGTGGGAAAACAAAAATTTGGTGTTTCACTATGATTCAGATTAATCTGCTGGTAATACAAATGTCATGACTTCATCACTTAGTTCCTGCACCTGAATATCTTCCTGGTGGTGACTTCTTACATGTTTCTGCATATCCTGCTTCTGCCTGAATGACCTGTTGCATATTTCACAAACATGTGGGCGCTCACCCGTATGGATAGTCTTGTGATTCTTCAGTGCATATGAACGACGGAATGCAATTCCACAAATGTCACAAGGGAATGGGCGTTCATCACGGTGTATTCTGTAAAGAAGTTTTCACTTCCATTATTGACACCTATTTGAACATAAAACTTCTTATGGGACGGAGTATTTATGAAGAGGACATAACTAATTCCAAAATATGGAAAAGCATGTTTACAACAAAATATGAATTACATGGAAAGTCACAAAATTCTGGTCCTGAGAATATAATGAATAATTACCTTTGATAATAAAAAATTGTAAATGGAAAGGAAAACATGGAATTTAATGGAGAATACTTTGCATATTAATATTTTCTATCCACAAGTGGGAAATAATACCTCTATGCCTCTTGAGTCAGTAACTACAACAATGTAATAGGTCAGTAACTGATACATCACACAATTAGATTTTAACGCCTATAAAATATGAATTTCCAAACTTGTTCATAATGCATTTAACCAGCACCAAAAGAACCTCAGAACCTGTGAAAAACTTGAGCCAAACAGTGAATCATTCCAGTAAACTAAATTTCATCATTTATCACATTGAAACTTAACAAAATGCAGAATAATTCAAAATCATAAATAAAAATTATTCTAAAAGTTGGAATATTTCATTACTGTAAATAGTTTTTTTATCCATTTTAATGTGAAAAATAATAATTGTATAAAATATCTCCTCCAATATGAAAACAGATACAGAATATGCAATCCTGTCACAACTGAACACAATGATCAGAATGCTGACACTGTCATCAGAGGACTGAAGTGATGGCCAGGGAAATCAGTGCAGCCTGGCACAGGACACCAGTCTGCACAGGTAATTATGGTTATTTTGGGATAATGGAAAGTTTGGGCTCTCTGATTGTTTAAGGATGAACACAAAAAGACATACACAGATGTGTCACTACAGTTAATTTGATAACATGCTGCCAAGGGTGATGACTTCCTGTTAACATACATACATACATATTTTATTACATTCCATGGATCCATAAGACAGTCAGATGACGATAGGATGTGGAAGAAGTCATAATAGTAATAATACAATACATATTATAAAGTACAATTCATACTATTATATAAATTTCACAAAATACAAACAAAGGGTTCACCTAAAGAAATGATAAGTTACAAATAAATCTACAATTATTGGTAAACAATAGAAATTCATCGACAGAGTAAAAGGAGTGTGTAATTAGGTATATTTCTAATGCTACCTTAAATTGCTCCTTCTTATTTACAAGACTTGTGAGTGTGTTCAAGATCATAAGTTTGATGAAAGCTGGTTCCAACAGTTTTACACAGAAATCAAATGAGAAAGCAAGGAATGCAACCCCTCCCCCCTCCAAAACCGTGAGTGTGTGCATGCATGTGTGCACACACACAAAGAAGGCCAAGGCCAAAATTGTGCCCCTGGCTGATAAAGATATGGGAACAGTCTCCTGGGATTCTGAAGGATACATATAGTTTGATTTTGTGGTGGATGAGAACACCATCAACACAGTTCACTATCTTCAGATGCTGAAAAATTTGTCATGTGCTCTTCATGACAAGCACCTAATGAAAAAAACAAAAAAGTATGTCTGACAAGGGATACCCACCACATAGTCCAGACTTAACATCTTCTGACTACCATCTATATGCAGTCTTGAAATATATGAAATGCCAACACTACAGAATGATGACAGTCCAGGAAATCATACATAGCATGTTGTGAGGTCCTGTGAATGCATTTTTACTATAGCAGGAGTTCTAGGTTTGTGCAGCACAGACAGAAATGTACAAATAATTCTAGAGATTATCTAGAATAGTGCTAGGATATCATGTCCAGGTACTGCTGACAGTATCTCTTTTCTTTCAAACACAATTTTTTCAATATACAATAAATGTGGTCACAACTCCTTCATAGTATCTATCACTGCTGCAACTCACCTAGTATGTTCAAACCACATGGCTCGTGTGCGGAAAGATTTAGAACATTGCTGACAAGAAAATGGTCTTTCTCCTGTATGTTTGCGAACATGGTCATCCCTGTCTCCTCTTTGAAGGAATTTTTTGCCGCAGTACTCGCAGGAATGTGGTTTATCACCCCGATGTAACCGTAGATGTGATGAAAGGCCTGAGCTATGTACAAATGTCTTCTTACACAGAGGACACACATGAGGTTTTTTTCCACTGTGTGTTTTATTGTGAGAATCCAGAGACAACTGAAACAGAGTATAAAAATATCATAACAGTTAAGTTGAATCCTGGTGAAGTCAAAGAATTATAATATAAAAATTTTGTATTTTCAGAAAATATATATAACCATACATCATTGTATGGTCCTACTGTAAGTGGTCCTAATGTCACCCCCACCTCAAAAGTTTGTTCGTCTGCCATGTTGGGATTATCAATTATAGAAAATTATCAAGTAGGATTTTTGGGTAGTCCCCAATGGCATAATGTCCATACCAAACCTCATCCAAATCCATCCAGTGATTCTGCAATTGAATCATATGGAAAAACAAATGGATGAACGAACAGACAGACAGACAGACATGACCTGCCCTATATGCATTCATTTCTAGCACATTGTACACAGAATGCATAATAAGCAGAAAAATGCACCTACATTCTCACAACTTCCGATTTTATAAAAAAGAAATTATCTCATCATGTCCACAGACACAATGTAAATGTGTTTACTTAGCCTTCATTTTGTTTATGTACTTTCAGTTTCAATCTTTTTGGTCAAATCTTGAACAGAAATTTATATAGCAACCCAATATGATGCCATTCTTCAATATGACAATTAAAGATTAACCAACTTCAAACAGACACTAATGATAAAAAGTACATAGCATTTACCGTATATTACAAACATTTTCAATGCAGAAGAGACAGTTATCAACAGCTAATAAAGTACCTTTCGAGCAAATCTTTTCCCACATTGATCACACTGGAAAGTAGGGCCAGGGTTGTCTCCAGTATGTAACATATTTATATGAGCTAAAAGTGACTGTTGGCTCACATAACGCTTCTCACAGTATTCACATTTCCACCGCTTTCGTTCACTTGCAGGCAAGCCACTGCCCAATGGAGGCGGTTCTGTCTCACAGTGACGCGTTCTTCGGTGGTATGCTAAACCCCATGAGTTTATAAACTGCTCAGGACACATCTGTGACAGTAAGAATCAACTGATCAAAACCTCACAACAAACAAATTAAAATGAAATATTCCTTATTGCAAGCAAAACTATGTTTTGAGACCTGTGACAAAGTTTACATGTTATAAACATTTTCCTGATTTTGTTTAGATACCATATTTTCAAAACAAACTTTTTTCTATGTTCTAATATTTCAACAATTCACACTTATGAAACAGTAAACATATAAGCCTCTAATTTTCAATTTTCATTGGGAGTAAGAGATTCACTTTTCAGGTATTTAAGAAGAAAGCATAAATCATTTTTGTATGCAAAACAAATACTGAGATCATACCTAAATGTTACTCATGTTAACTCCAGTTTAATTTTATGTCTTTCCAGGTTAAGTATGAGCATCTTAAGTTACACCTTTTAAGAATGAACCATATGTTTCTGCATGCAGAGGTGACAATGGTGTTCAACTCAGCATTGAAGAATTCCTACCACATGACTCCTTCAGGGTCTGGCATGCCTAGGCTGTCCTAGTTCAGAGACCAAGAGGGTCTTTCAGATAAACCATTATGTAACTTGCCATATAAGAAGCAATTAGGTATAATTTAGAAGTAATCACAGGTATTCAGGTTCAACTACTGAAGAGGAAAAATACCAGGCTAATTAATTGTGTTTTGGTACAGAACAGGAATACAGTAATTTCCTAGTGCAGACAACATCTATGAAGTGTTAAAAATAGTAATGGGGGACCCAGAAGTTATTATTCAGTTCATATAATAAAGGACTGTTGGTGTCCATGACACTAAAAATATTTTCAAAGTTGATCCTCAGATCCCCATTTAAGAATATGTCAAATTTGAACCCCCTCATATATCCATTCATCAAGAGACAGGAACATACTCTATAAATGTTCTAATCAGTGTCCACCCCATCAGGTTGAAAGAAAAAACTGACAGAGACAATATTATTTTGCTGGATGTTCTAGGTCAAAATTGTAATATACTGTACATTATAATGTCCCCACTTAATGGTACCTGCACCTTGTCATGATAGTGGGGCTTGAGTACCTCAGTGATCCCAAGAGCTATGCTGGCAGTAGCATAGCTACTGGTAGGGCCTCCCTAGCCAGATTGGTCGAGGGGGAGAGGTCGGACTAAGACAGGTACCCTGGTCCTCCAGGTTGGGGGTTGGTCGTAAGGCTAACAACCTCGCACCATAAAAAGGAAGATGTTTCGAAACCTCAATCAAAGCCTCGGACAGACGGACCTAACAGAGCAGCGGAGGATAGGACCGAATGGAAGAGGAGAATTGAGGAGGCCATGGACCGAATACAGACCGGAGAGCCATAGAAGAAGAAGTACATTATACTGTGAATATGGCAGGCCATAATGAGCATATACCTAAAATTTGGCAGGCATGTATGGTGTGTTGCAAAGGTAAGGTGGTAAACAGAGATACAAGTATTCAGTTGCAGCAGAAATTTATTTTTGTTCAGTTTAAGTAGAAGATATTATTGAATCATGTATTTCATTGTTCTTTTGTATGCTGTAAACCTACAAAGAATAAACTGATGGGATGATCCACATGGACATGATAAAATATATTGCAGTGTTAAATTATTACTTACAATTGAACAGGTTCATAGTTTGCAATTAAGTTTTATGTTCAAGCTTCTCTGGGGCCAAAGGCCATTAGTATAGCTATAATGCTATTAGGAAGTATTTTCTACCTCGCATCACATGACTCCTTTAGCCTGATTTAGTCCCCAAATATCATTCACTGAAGTTAGATTGCCATTCAGAATCAGTATGATTTATTCTACAGTGAATATACTTACCATTAAAACTCCACTAATGTAAGTTTAGAAACATGTTATTTAAAACTAGATGACCAATATGGAAAAGGGACAAAAATTTTCTGCTATGGCAAGGAAACTCATCTTCAGGGCATGAGAAAGGAAGCATATACAGCCAAAGGCTAGATAAGAAATAATTACTGACATGTAACTACCATGCCAGTTTTCCTCCGGGGCTTCCCCGGTTTCTCCGCGGCATCCCAACAATTACTCATACTCCATACACACAGAAGAAGGCGCAAACCACTTCTGGATCATCTGCCAAGAACGTATATGAACAGGTCCCAGTCCGAGAAAAGGATGGAAGGATGGATCCTGTTCATAATGTCGCCAACCTCCTGTAAAGGAGATGGCGTAATAAAGAAGAACTACCATGCCACTGAAGGCAAAGAAATGTCTGTTTACTGAAATATATACACACCTTGCATTTGTACATGTGTTTCACCTCAGCATGTATCATCTTACGATGAACGGCGAGGTATGTCCAGTGGACATATGACTTATCACAAGAGTCGCACAAAAATAATTTTGGAACTGAAAACTCATCTTTCTTCTCATAGACACCATGAATCACTTTATGAGTTGCTACACGAGCAAATGTTGTAAAACCTACACCACATATGTGACACTTGAAAGGGAGAGGCTCATCAGTATGACTTAATCGATGTTCAGTGAGAAAAGCAGGATCTGCATAAAAACGCTCACAGAACTCACACCGGTACACCTGAAATGAAAACCCTTCAATTCAGAACTAGTGAACTCTTGAAAAACAGTACCAATGACGACAAAATAAAATATATATAATTTTTAGTGTCTTCAATTTGTTTCACTTTATCTATGTATCTTCAGTATTTCAATGTTCTTCAGTTTTTAGATTGAATTCCTCTGGTACAGTTACTTTAATTTAAAACATATTAAATCATATGAAAAGGTGTGTAAAAATAAGTGTTTCTCTGCCAGTATGATCTTCAAAATCAGCAAATTTAAATGTAAATGCAAATTTCCCCACAAATGAATGACAGAAGTTCAATGAAAGAGGAAAGAAAAGCCAGTCGAATTCTAGTAATCTTACAGCAGTAGCCAATTTTGAGCTCAATAATAATGACAATGATTCATGTACCCAGAGAACTCCAATTAATTAAAACCAATATATCACGTAAATAAAAAACTTTTCTCAAGTACACATATGTTTGAACCAGAATTCAGCTCAAGGTGACTTTCAGGACAGAATCAGCTTTTGAACTTTTAATTTTAATG